CTTTGTTCTAAATCTGCCAGCTGATGACTTTTCGATGCAGGGTAGAACAGAGGGCCCGCGAGGAGAGTCTGTCTCCTCTAAACAAATGGAATTTCAGCACAGAGGAAAAACGAGGACTGCTAAAGCAGGGTGTCCGGCAATGACTTTTCTGTTAAGAAAGGAGTTTTTCCCAGGCTCTGAAATTAAATCAGATACGCCATCAATAATTTCTCTCTGTTTTCTTGTAGCTCTGTATCCAGATGTCTTGCAGTGTCTGGAAGCCCCTATACTGTCCTCAAGCCAGTGCAGCAGTGCTTACCCTGGTGAAATTACTAGTAACATGATGTGTGTTGGATACCTGAATGGAGGGAAAGACTCCTGCCAGGTAAAACGGCTGCCTCTCCAATCTGCACCTTTCCTGCCTTCTCCTAATACAGGATGGTATCATGTTAGAAATACTCAATGGCATGTTTGAAACCATTTTTTTAACTAGCAATGAAGGCTTAGTGTAGAGGTCGCTTATTGAATTGATAGGGCACTTGGACAGCTCAATAGAAAGGGACAGATGTGATGACAAAAGAACAGGCACAATTGAGAACTGCTATGAAGCAAGGGAAAAAGAGTGCTCGCCCACGTCAGAAGAGTCTACGTTGGCAGGGGAAAGCTCCACCAAGGAGGGATCTCCAGGAAGAGACCCTTCCCAGTGGCAGTCAGCCCTTAAATGAGGTCTAAGAGAGGTGCAGCCAGGCTCCATCCCTTCCCGTTGCACAGCTGACTTGCCTTCACCTGTGCTTCCAGGGCTGACCGGGTCCTTTCCCCAGGTGCTCAATCAGTGATTTGGGCCCTGACTCAACAATTTCCATACAGTTGGCAATTTTTCCACTCAGTTCATCTCTATTTATCCTTATTGATTTAAGATGTGGAATGCCTCTGCCCCAATTCTCCACGTGCAGAGTGTGCTAGCTCTTGCACTTTGGGCTACTGAAAATGGAGAAGTGCTGCACCGGAGAATAAGCAATAATCACAGAGGCTGTAGCCTAGGATGCACATGTTAGGATCGGATGTGATGAGAATGAAACACCACTGTACCAATATCCAGGAAACTTGGAAAATGAACACACCTGGCAATTGCTCTGCTTGCTGTATTTGCCTGATTCTGTGGAAAAGTTTTGCAGAATCATGAGCAAGAAGAGTTTTGTGAGCATCTGCCAAGAACTGCAGCCATGAAAACTAAGTAACTTACCGCTGTCTGTGATGCTTTAAAAGTACGGCATGTTAGCATCAGGTGTAGAATTGTAAGCAGAAATCATCTTTGTGAGAAAAAGTCTCTCTCTAGAATCTCAGTGATTTCTGGGAAATATGGCTTCCTGCTGATGCCGATAGCACTTGCTGAGCATCTGTATCTTTATCTGTACAGGGGGATTCCGGTGGCCCAGTGGTCTGCAATGGTCAGCTGCAGGGTATTGTTTCCTGGGGTTATGGATGTGCACAAAGAGGTTATCCCGGTGTTTACACTAAGGTTTGCAATTACGTTTCCTGGATTGAATCAACTATGTCTTCCTATTGAGACGCTCATTTTACGTGACCTGCTTTTCCTCCCCCTCATTTCCTTCTGCCTTGCAACTGGATGTACCAACCTTCACAAAAAATAAACATTTTCAGGCAGCCCATCTTTGTGCACAGTTCCTCACATTACGTCCATGGGTTATCACACCAGGAACACAGACAACCAATATCACTGTCTATCAACCTACCTAATGTTTGTAGTGTATCTCAACTAGAAGAAGCTTGGGACAATTTTTAGCCTCAACTTCAGGAGTCCTTCAGTCAGTTATGCACAAGCATTTTGGAGTAGAAGATATTTTCCCTTTATAATCATAAGGTCAATGCTACGCATCCACGTAGAACAGCTGAAAGAGTGTGGTGAACTACAGAGGCAACATACTTGTATTACAGAAAACAGCTGGCAGCAAAACAAACACTCCCAATCACCCCCAACCCACAGTCATAGGACAGAACATTTCCTACTGCAAAATCACTGGAAGCTCTACCTGGGGAATGGAGGCAAGCTCTTGCTAGGGCTTGTTCTCTTATTGTACCAGTACTGTGACCTACCAGGGCTATTTTACTAAATTGCTGGGACTTCTCTCCATAGCATTTTGCTCGTTGGACATGCTGGGCTTTCGTAGTTTACCTGGAACAGTCAAAAGAACAGAGATGCTCCTGAGCTTTGGTTTTAAATTCCTGCTGCCCCAATCAGCCCCAAGAGAGTCCATGAATAAAGTGCCAAAGTTGCCCATGGGCTGTGCAGCTGTCTCCTCGAGGGAAAAGGAAATGGAGAAAAGGAAAAAATGTGAGAAAAATCGGATGAAGAAAAGGAGAGGAGAAAAGTGGGGCACAAAGGAACAAATGCCGTTTTCAAATGGAGAGGTTTTTGCTTAGCTCTTTCAGATGATTTATTGACGATTTATTGCTCTTAGATAAGCAATAGGTGCCTGAGCCAGGAAAAAGTACAACATACAAACAGGATCATAGCATGGTATCCCACTGCTGTGAAAGTCCATGCTGAATTCCTTCTCAGCATCCTCCTTCATGGCTTGCTTTCTTTCCGGAAAAATCATCCTTGCCTTCAGTCTGTTTGTACCAGGAGACAGAGTTCCGACCATGGAGCTGCTGGCAGTCGTAGGTTTTCCCTCCACGGCCAGTGTGAGTGGAGACTTACATAGCCTTGCCTGGTATTATCAGCCAAAAAGCAAATGTGTTACCTGATGTGCAATGAGCCAATTCCCACACACGTAAGAGAGATATTTCTTTTAATTTGGGCCCAGGTGCTGGAAAGTTCCTCCATGAGGAACAATCGGTTTTGAGTTATCAGACAAAGTAAAACACTCTGCTTGATCAAAGTGTTTTACATTTCTGTTGATTAAACACAGACAATAGCCCCTTCTTTCTAAGCAAAGACGTGTTTCTCCCTTCACGGAATTATCTAGATCTGTCTGTGTCCTCAGCAGGCCCACAGGCCCAGAAAAGAAGGAAAGAGAACAAGAGTGTCAATGGTTCATGGGCCAGCCTGGCCTGATCTCATGACTAATGAGGCAGGGGATCCATGGACCCGTGCCCTGGCAGAGGGAAAAGGATAAGAAGATGGGTCCAACAACAGAGCAGCGGCAACGATCTGAGGAGGAACGTTAGTTTACTAAACATGATATCAGAATGCAAGATAACAGAACAGAACACAATTCAATTGGAATAGAGGCCAACAAATCAAACAAAATGAGAGAGAGACAGTGTCCAAAACAAAGACCTTACTCTAAAGCTGCAGGCAAAAAGCAGCAAGGCAGCATGCGCTTCTCTGCAGCGACCAAAGAAAGAGAGGCTCCCAGGAGCTCCACCTCCCTTCCTCTGGGTGCAAAGTCCTGTGGGGAATTTGCCTCCTTGCCTCCCCCTCTGAGAACCAAGCACCCAGAAACAGTGGTCCACGGAACTGGAACATTAACTCTGTAACTCCCAGTGCTTTGCATGATGTTATGATGTGGGATACTGACAACAAAAAAGTCATAAAAACAGAACACTCCCCTCTTAGAAAGTTCAGAAAAATCCACCCGCTTTCATAGTTATCAGAGGGATGAAAATGTTGGAGGAGAGTGAAGAAGACAAGGAAGATGGGGCAAAATCCTTGTTTCTGTCTGCACACAGAGCGCATCCTTGACTAGGAGGGCTGGGCGTGTTGAGAAGAGTTGTTTGGAAACAGTCCCTGTCCTCTGCCACTATCTACTCCACGTGGCAAAGAAGAAATTCCACTTTCTAGATTTGATATTCAAGACCTGATATCAAAATTGTTGAAATGTTCTTATGGGCTCTCCCTTCTTACATGTTGGAACATCATTCATTTCAGTGGTAGACCCTACCATGAAAAGGTAGCTTACAAAGTTGTTCCCTTTCTGTGCTTGCACTGGGTCTGGATGGAATGGAATTTCCCATATGGAAGCCCGTGAAGTACTGTGCTTTGCTCAGGCTGATATCACACCAAAGTTTTACCTATTGCTTGTTATCAAAGTCTGGGAAGAAAACTCTCTAACTCCACTGTGGTGTTGGAAAGTGACATTAATTTAGCTCACCATTTGTACCGGCCAGCTTGACAAATCAAGCATGTGCTCTCGGAGTTCAGGTTCCACATTTAAACCGTTAAAACATACAGGTGCAATACGTTTCCCAGAAACATCATACATACTCATTCTTTCCCAAGAACTCATGAATACATGCTAACATCTCTTTGAGCATGCGCAGCGAGGCTGTATGACCACCTCCTTCAACCCCTTTATTTCAGCTGAAAGGTAAATCTGCCGTAAAACACTGCGGAAAAAGCCGTTGCGAAGGGACGTGCCTGACGTTTGGCAATGGGGAAAATCAAGGGGAATGCTTAAAAGGAATGAAGGAGTTATGCTTCAAGGGCTTGACAAGGCTGGCTGCCCAGCTGAAGTGCCTCTACACCAATGCACACGGCTTGGGAAACCAGCAGGAGATGCTGGAATCTGTTGTGCCACTAGAAAGCCACAGTGTAGTTGCCATCACTGAAACCTGGTGGGATGATTTGCATGTCTGGATGTGGCTATTCAGCTGCTACCAGCTGTTCAGAAGGGACAGACAAGGAAGGAGGGGAGGTAGTGCTGCTATCCACATCATGAAAGGAATAGAATGTGAAGGCTTATCCCTAAAGTATAGTCATGAGCAAGTCAAAAGCCTATGGGTGATGCCAGAGACTGAGGCAGCAAAGGAAGCCTTATGATCAGTGTCTACTACCGGTCACTCAATCAAGCAGAGCCTGTCAATGAGGTCTTCTACCTCCAGCTACAGGAGGCATCGCGACTGCCAGCACTCATCCTGCTGGAGGACTTCAACTAAGACACAATTCTTCCCGTTATCCAAACAATCTGCAGGGCTACTTTTCAGTGAATGCTGACAAGTTTAACAATATCACATGGAGAAGGGTTTGCGCTACGCTGCTCCAGCCTTCGTGTCACAGTGTATCTTGCTTAGCGCAGAAATAAGTGCCCGAGTCATTGAGTAGGACATGATCTATCGTCACCGATAAGGAGTTCGCCTTAGTCCCACTACTCTGGAAGCGGCTTTTGAATTCCTCCTCAAAATCTGCCTTGGTTCCCTCCACTGAACGTACAACCAGCTTCAAAGTGGCGTTCTTCCCCACTGGCAGCTTGTACCAGAACATGGTCCAGACTCCACTCTCCTTGTGCGAACAGTTCAGAGTCAGAGAGTCTCCCAGTCGGACAACTGAGTCTGGGGTTTGCTGAAGAGACCAGCCTGGAAAAGGAAAAAACTGTGAGAATGGAATGGGTTCAAAGAGACAGAAAGACACATCCTTGAATTACTAGATGGGATGCCAGCATGTGGAACACTGTCCCATTTCTCTGAAAGACATACAGAAGAAAGAAAAATATTCAAATATACTACTAATAATAATTTATATATGTTTTTAATACAAACTTCACTGCTGTTGGCTCAAGTATTAAAATGTGACAGAAAAAAAAAACAAATAAGAAAATGTGAAGATCTGCAGAGTTTTTTGATTAAGAGCCTGAGGAAAATTTCACCTCATTCATTGCTCATCCTCCCCAGGAAGCCTTGAGGAATGGAGCATTACCAACAACTGAACGCACTGTTGGAGCACCAGCAGAGGAAACAGTGAGGTTTCTCAAGGGAGAACAAAATTTACTTACCTGTAGGAGCCAGGAAGGCCATAAGAGCCCAGTAGGAAAACATGGGCAAAGTCTTATCTTCTTCAACTGATCTGCCTGTGGTGACAGCACTGACCTAGAAGCTCTGATGTGTGAGGAGGAAACATTGAGGAAGGAGGAAATGCATGATGTTGGAGTGGGCAGGACAGTATGAGACCGTCCGGAAAGCAGTTAGTTAGAAAGCAGTCGGTTGGCTGGGAACTGTGTGAAATGCAGACAGTAGAAGGTGGCACAAACGCTGAACAGCTGGCTTGACGTGTGTGTGTGTGTGTGTCTGTGTGTGTGTGTGTGTCTGTGTGTGTGTGTGTGTGTGTTTGTGTGTGTGTGTGTGTGTCTGTGCGCAGGCACAGGAACGTGCTGGGACTGATGGGAGTCTGAATTTGAGACAAGGCATAGGGCTGCTTTGGGGTTTTCCTCTCTTCCGCTTGAAACAGCTGAGATCTTCACAAAAGAGTTATATTAAAAAAAAAAAAAAAAAAAAAAAAAAAAAAAGGAAAAAAAGCAGAAAAACAGGGCTTTGTTATTTTCTTCTATGCCCCACATCTAAGTTCCTGAAATTTCAACGATCCTGACCACACACAGTGCAGTGCTGGATCTTCTCTGCTCAGCCCTATGCTGTTCATGCAACGTTTTGCTTTGTTCATCATCCTCCCGCTCTGGGCTGTCAATGGCTTCAGTGTGAGAGTCATCAACTTCTTTGCAGGAGTGTAGAAGAGCACCTCCATCCTTCTACCTTCCCCCTGCTGACAGCTGGGTCTCTGACTGCAGGCTGTCTCATTCAGTAAGCACTTTGAGACTATTAAAGTGCACTGGTACTCGACACTAAGAGGAAGGGCATTTGCTTCACAGGGACTGCAAGCATTTGGGCGGAAGAAGTAAACAGTCAGTGCAGGTGGTGAGGGAGCATCAGTCTTGTGGGAGAGGTGAAGAAATAGTCTGAAGAGACAGCAAGTGTGACTCAGAAAAACTGTGAGGGAAGAGAAAGATACATCCTCCCTCGGCGCGGGCAGGAGTGTGAGACTGGACTCGGTGAGAATTCCTCTGCTTGCACTGCATCTGTGGTTTACAAAAACAGTGTGCATGCTCAGTGTAAGCTGTGATGTGGGTGCAGTGGGGAAGCTACTGTACGCAGCCAGGAGGGTGAGGGCCTGCTATTCTGTATTTGCCATCCTGCTGCTTGCATGCACAATGGCAGATGACCGTAACACTGCACTGCTGCAGCACCTGTAGGTAATTCCAAGGAAGGAGACTGTCTTAATCCCTGCACAGCTTATTGGAAGACTAAAGAAGGGCATCGCAGATTAGGGTCTTGGTGTAAAACTCTCTGACTCCAACATGGTGTTAGAAAGTGGCATTCCTTTATTCCTCGTGACACAAACTGGGTGACTTGACAAGCAAGCACATGCTCAGAATCCAGGTTCTACATTTAAACAGTTAAGACATACATATGCAGTACACTGGCACACACATTCGTTCTTTTTCAAGGACTCATTCATACGTGCTGGTGTCCCTCTAGGCATGCTCGGCAGCATCTAGCTGGCCACCTACTTCTTCCACATTTTCCACCAACAGCTTAATCACTGAGACCTCTGACTAACTTTCAGCTGCCTTTCCCCAGTTCGGAAAATTTCCATGGCTTAATAAGCCAGAGTGTGCAACTTTTAAAGCAGTACATGTGGCATTCAAGATATCCTTGCACCTATTGGGTGCAGAAGATAAAAGTAATCTCTTATGTCACCTGTGCAAAATTATCGAGAACAGGACTGTTCACCCACTGGAGTAGAAATGGAAAGTTTTAGAACTATCTCTCATTGGTTTCTATTGCTAGACTTATATATTGATTCTTAAACCAACATACTAATTCCTAGTGCTGAACAAATCAACCAATATCATGGTGGAATCTTCTTTCCTTCCGGTTCATCTTCTTTGCATTTTTGTTGACACTCCATTTGATCACATTTCCCACCCTACCATGGAGTTGGTGTGATCTCTACTTTCACGTGGTCTTAGTTGAGGGCTGAAGAATGGGAGAAGAACGGCTTAAGAGCAGCCCTGAGGAGAACGATTTGGGAGTGACATTGATCGCAATACTGTGGAGGACTTCCTGATCTTGCCCTCTAACAATAAGGAAAATGTCTATCTTTAGAGTGCCAACGTGCACCAACCCTCCATGTCTCTCAGAAGTCCGATCATGAAATGGAGAAGCTTAATGTACTGGAGAGGAGTTTATGTACAGAAAGCAAGTGACTTTGAAGTGTTGTGTCCAAACTTGAGGCACAGAAATAGGTAGCTGAATGGTTCTTCTTCACAGACATGATATCTAAACGAAAGTATTCTAGGCTTATCCGCTTAGCTTCGTATCCAGTGTGAATATCACCCTTATATTCCTGATTTGGTCCAAACGAATAATAGATTAATTGCAGCCCTTTTCCTGGCTGCTGCAGATACCAGTACATATAATCGTGATTGTCATTTTGACTGCATCCCAGGGTAGCACTCTCATCTTCTTTCAGTACCAGACTTGAGTTTTGTGTTATCTTAGCTCCTGAGAGACAAAGCAAAAGGAACACAGTTAGAAAGCAGACTACATTCTCCCCCCCAGCAGAACAGGCATGATGTCTCAGCTGATGCCTTACTTGCTCCAAAGAAGCACAAGACCAGGCACCACACTGTCCACGTTCTCATTGCTGACTGAGAAAGCAGGGAGCATGCCTCGGTAAGGAACTTACTTATATAGGTCTGTTTCCATTTCCCTTAAGCCAATAGCAACGACCTCTGCAGCAGTCAGATCTAGGCAGAAAACCAAACTTCTTCCTGCCTGAAATTTCAAGGAAATGCACTGTTTTAAGAGTGCCTGCCGAAAATATATAGAAGCTTTCAAACTGATTCAGGAGGAAAATATTCTCTCAGACAGGATAGCATCAAGGGGAAATGGTTTGAAACTGAAACAGGGGAGATTTAGACTGGACATTTGGGAAACGTGGTTGGCTTTTTTTTTTCCCCTCCCAGGAACAGGGCAGTGAAGCACTGGCACAGGGTACCCAGAGATGTGGTGGACGCCCTGTCCCTGGAGACATTTGAGGTCAGGCTGGACAGGGCTCTGAGCAACCTGATCTAGCAGTAGGTCTCCCTCTTTGTTGCAGGGGAGTTGGACTGGAGGACCTGCAAAGTAAATGCAAAGACAGGAAGTGAGACAGGCAGAGCAGCTATTTCTTGAAGAACTTCTCTCAAAATCCTTGTTTCTTGTGCAGTGCCACATCAAGCTTGCAAAAACAAGCACTGCCCAGGAGGAATTGCTTCTTCAGAACTGGAATAGGGCACTGTGGCTGCAGAACTTCAGGATGACCACATCCACTGAAGATCGGGATGGCTTTGTACTGGCACCTGGGAAGTGCACAGCTGTGACCACCTCATTTGTTTGCAGGACCCTGAAGGCTACTGATAAGTTCACAGACCTTACAGTAGCCTAGCCAGCCTAAACTAAACATGCCTGGAAGCTGAGAAAAATGGAAAGAGATCCTTATGTTATGTTCCTAAGGTTGAAGAGCTTTTTTTCCAGGGTTCATGAAAAACACCTGAGGTACAACAGTGACATGATGATTTTCAGGATGTAATAGCTTACTACTGGAGAAGGAAAAAGAGTAACAACAAGCACAGCTACTAAAATCACTCAGACGTCACTCCCAAAGGAGCCACCAAGGTATTAATATTCCTTTAGAGATTCTGACAGAAAATAGAAATCCCAAAACTATCCGAGGATGGTTGAAATGCTAGTAATAATCCATAGATGTCAACAGAGTATGGTAAAAATGAGCTCTAAATAAGAGGCAGAAGAGAGTAAGCAAGTCAGTCTGTGAGAGACAGTGCTTTCCCAGTGCTTTCCTCATTGTGATTCTTTTGCCTGATACAAACCATGAGTAAATCACAGCCCTGAGATTGTTTGTCAGAACAGAAGATTGATTGTGGTTGCAAGGAATGGTGTGCTATTCTCCTTGCTGAACAGCTCATAGAGTCAGGAGAACACAGGTTTCCCGGATGTGTAAGGCCCACAGGAGAGATGTGTGAAGATACGAGTCTTTCAGAAATGGTTTTGGAGTGGATTAAGTGAGGGAAGCAACTGAACTTAACTTTGGCGTACTTCTCAGACAAGCTTAGTTCTGAGCTGATGATGAGAGGGCGGAGCTGCTTGGAGAGCAAAAAATTTGTCTGAATGTTAGAGTGCACACACTCCAATCATGAACCTTCCTTCTGCTCAACCTGGATAAGGATATCCAACAGGAGGCTAATTGTGCTGTTCCTGTAACGCTCAGATTTCTGCAGTTTGAGTCTAATCTGTAGCATATCAATTTATTTTCTTTCATCTTCTTGCATTCACTCCTCTCTGGACTGTTGGCAGATCTAGTCTCACTGTTTGTTATCACTGTATTTGTGTTCACATACATTGTACCCATATACATCAACTTGTACTGAGATTTTTTGAGGCAAAAATCACTACATGTAAACCAAAAATGCACCCACAAATATTTGTTACATTGACATGATTATTTAGATGAAATGAGTGAAGTGCTTTCAAATAGCAATTGAGAGCATTCCACATTCAAAGAAATTATCTTAGGAGATGAAGGCCCACGTAGAGTGGTTTCTTATAGTCTGTTTTTGAGATTTCTTGTGAATATTTTATTTGAATAAACATTATCCTACAGATAGAAAGATTCATACTGCTGAAGAAAAGGAATTTTCTCAACTTAAGAAATGGACAGAAATGATGTATTTTTTAGTGTAGGTAAGATATCTTTCAATCCACTACGTACAATAAAGCCTGCTTTCCTACAAATGACACCAGCAGAGAGATCTCAAAGGGTTACTGTGAGCAAATGCTGCAAGGAAACACTCGTCTTCCAAAACGCAAACGTTTCTTTGTTTGGAAAGTTTTTCTTTCAAATAATTAAAGAGAACTCTCTATCTTACGAAAGGCTTATGATTAACTGTTATTTGTAATTACTATCAGTACCTTCTAATGCCTACATTTGGATCTTCAAGTTTTCCACTGTTTTTTTTCCCTGGACAAAACCTTGGGTTGAAGATAAGCCATTTCAGAAACCATATTTCTAGCTGCTCCCGTTGCCAGTCCACCAGTCTGGGATCGAGGCTGTGTCACGATCATGAAATACTTACTGTTTGTCACCTTTGTTGGTGTGGCTGGTGAGTACATTTTTACTTCTACTTGCGTAATTTAAAATGAAACTTACTTCTGAGGAAACTTGTAGCACAGTCTGTCACTGGGGAAGTGAAGTTGAGTTTACATTTGCAGAAGGCTTAAGGCAGAATGCTTCTACCTCTTTTGACTACTAACTGTCCATCCAGAATAACTTCTTTCACAAGACATGCAAGCCATCATGGCTCCTGACCTGGGAACACTAAAGTGCTTACATAGGTTAAAAACAAAAATGACTGTTATACATTGTATAAATTCACGACTCTTCCACTGGAGATGCATTACAAAGTACCTCTTACCAGGAAGTCCTGAAGCTACTGCAAATTCTCTGATCATGGGAGAGAGCTGTAAGGAAATACCGCTGCAGTCTTGTGTTGTACTTTCATTGTCTGCTTCTACAGACAAGATCTTGGGACAGACAAACCTTTTATCTTATCCAATAAGAACGTTTCTATACTATGAAGTTCAGCCTGAGAAATAGCATCCAGGGCTTTAGACGCAAAGAGGCGGGCTGCCAATCTAAATTCAATCAGCTTATTTTAGGGAGAAGCCAACAAATGCGAGTTGACCATAACTGCTGTTGCGTGCTTTTGTTTAGAACCAGAACCCATCTGCAAGATGTTTTGCTCAGTCATAGGGCCACAGAGTTCCTCATGCCAGATGTTAACGCATGCTATCTCTTATTTTGCAGTCGCCTTCCCCGTCAGCGATGGGGATGATGACAAGATTGTGGGAGGCTACACCTGTGGAAGGAGCGCTGCACCCTACCAGGTGTCTCTGAATTCTGGATATCACTTCTGTGGAGGTTCTCTCATCAGCAGCCAGTGGGTGCTGTCAGCTGCTCACTGCTACAAGTCGTGAGTGGAAAAATATATATTCCATAATCTACCTCTTTTCTCCAGTTCACTTTTAACAGGAATGTACAGCTATGAGATCCAAACATCTAAATAACTCGGTTCTCACAGAAGGCAACTGAGGAATGAGTGGGTCATTCAGAAAGGTGGGCTGATGCAGTACGAGTGGTTTTCCCCTTCTGCAAACGCTTTTCTGAAGGCAGAGTACCTTCTGAAATGACAACACGGTAATCCAGCAAGTAATGTGCGCGGTCTCCTAGGAGCTGCATTAATTTGTTAAAGCTGAACTGCAGTAGAATAGGAAGAGGAATGATCTCATGCTGGTAGCAGTTTGTCTTGCAGGATGTTTGTACTGGCCGCTACACAATCCCTCATAAATTCACCACCAGCACTGGAAATAAGATCTCAGCGTAGATCCCTAGAATTTGTTGCAGGACAAGAAAAGAACCCAGCATGAAAATACTGTTAAGACACACAGCGATAGGCAGCTTTCTCACAACCGCGATGTCAGTGGCAGTAAAGTAAGTGACATTCCTTCCTTTTTCCAGTTCCATTCAAGTGAAACTTGGGGAATACAACCTGGCAAGCCAAGACGGCAGCGAGCAGACCATCAGTGCATCTAAAATCATCCGCCACTCTGGCTACAATTCCTACACACTGAACAACGACATCATGCTCATCAAACTGTCCAAAGCAGCCACACTCAACTCCTATGTCAGCACAGTTGCTCTGCCTACCAGCTGTCCGTCTGCTGGAACAACATGCCTGATCTCTGGATGGGGCAACACACTCAGCAGTGGCAGTAAGTGCTGGGTGGGAACGTACAGCGTCCTGAGCACCCTGGAGATGGTCTAAGATCTCACAGTTAAGTCCAAACAGTACAGGGTAAAGAACAGAGAAGTGCTGCACAGCAAGCAGTCTTTTTGGAGAACGGTTTTGAATGATCAGTCCATGTAGGACAGCAATCAGTTAGCTGCTCTGATGGCAAGACTTCAAGATTTTTAATCTTGTTCTGTTTTGTGAAGATGGAATCATTGAAGTCATTCAAGTGCCCTTCACTAAGATGTCCACTCTTTCCCACCAGTGGTCAGAAGCGTAGGTGGAGACCGGTGTCTAATTCTCTGACCAAAACAAACCTGCACCAGAGCAGAAGGTACTTTGCCTGAGACCCAAGATTTCTTCACCGTGTGTACTGTCAGAGTAGTTCTTTGTTCTAAATCTGCCAGCTGATGACTTTTCGATGCAGGGTAGAACACAGGGCCCGCGAGGAGAGTCTGTCTCCTCTAAACAAATGGAATTTCAGCACAGAGGAAAAACGAGGACTGCTAAAACAGGGTGTCCGGCAATGACTTTTCTGTTAAGAAAGGAGTTTTTCCCAGGCTCTGAAATTAAATCAGATACGCCATCAATAATTTCTCTCTGTTTTCTTGTAGCTCTGTATCCAGATGTCTTGCAGTGTCTGGAAGCCCCTATACTGTCCTCAAGCCAGTGCAGCAGTGCTTACCCTGGTGAAATTACTAGTAACATGATGTGTGTTGGATACCTGAATGGAGGGAAAGACTCCTGCCAGGTAAAAAGGCTGTCTCTCCAATCTGCACCTTTCCTGCCTTCTCCTAATACAGGATGGTATCATGTTAGAAATACTCAATGGCATGTTTGAAACCATTTTTTTAACTAGCAA